TTGTCAAAAAATCTTATAGCATTCACTTGAGATTCTTCAGGTTACTGTTTGGGAAGTCAGTTTTGAAATAAATGTATCTGGTTATAATTTTAACCTGCGATTCCCGAGTAGTGTATCTTTGTCCCTGGCTGCTGTTTAAATAATTTAAATGTACTTTTCTCTGTTCAAAATCAGAATTTTGTCCATCAAATTGTTTATGATTGACTAACTGTGAGCTAAAGTCACATGTACAGCATCATTCAGTGTCTGAACTAATTATACAAAAAAGTGCATTATAGTTTCCTTTGCCCTGTGCAGTGACACCAATGGAATCTTTTCTGCACCAAAGTGTTTGCTGTATGTTGAGTGTTTTGGTATGTATGCATTTGTTTCCTTGTTTTTGTTTTTTTTACTCTGATCATGTCTGTGAACATGAAACGTTGCTGGGGAATTTGTTTCTACTGTGAGAAGTGTGTGTTCGAATACAAAGGAGTTGGTTTCATGGAAGAACTTAAGCCATCCGTTGGACTGTTCTCATAATGGTTCAATTGTAAGCTTTGCTCTGGTCCAGGGATTTGACCCAGAGAGTTTTGTGTGTAATTGAATTCCTATGCAGGTGTTGTGTTGTGATCGCCTAGTACCACATCACCGCTGGGTGGAGGGTCAGCCAGGGAGAAAGGCGACTGGCCAATGTTCAAACCTTTGAATGTGTCTGCACAGCCTTGAGATTGAGTCGAAGGGGACAATGGCGATATGACAAATCCATACAGAGTTGAACTAAACAGGGCTGTTTGGGTATGTACCGGTCTGTAATAGTTTTAACGGCATTGCAATGATCATTAGGGGAAGACAGGGTTATCACTGTATGGATTATCTCCAGCTGATATGATAATGTGAAAAGATTTTCAAGACTATTGCAGTGAACACTCCCTCACCCTACTTCAGCCTCCCAGAGGCACAACTGTACATTTACAGAAAAGTATATGCGATAGACAGTGTTCATGTCTTTGCTAAACCGGCCACACCTCTGCTATGCGAGCAACTCTTTGACGCTTAGCATCCTGTTCTGTGTTTTCTCTTGCTGCATTCAGGAACACCTGTGTAATGTATAGATAAACTGAAATAAATCCAGACTTTTATTCTATCAGCACAAACCTCTTCTTGTCTTTTTTGTCATTTCTTGCCTCGTGTTCTTTTATCCGAATGAACTACAAGATAAAACCCATGTCGGGAACTGAAAGCTAAGCTAAGGTTGAAACCACTCTGAACGTTTGTCTTTTTTCTAACAATATGTTGAAAATACTTCTACAGGGCTGACAATGCCACACTACCTCCATCATAATGAGGCTGAGTGAAAGTTCAAACAAGGAGACGGTTTCATTCATTCACAATTCTCTATCTTTCTGTTTCTCAACCCTTTGGATCAGCTATGTGTGTTTACAGTAAACCAATCAGATATCCCCACAACGTCAATGAGCTAATCACTGCTGTGACTCTCCCTTCACTCCATTCACCTCCAGTCTTCATGACAAGCTCAGCAGAGATAACTTATCATTGCATCCAGATCTTCTCTATTCCCTTCATCCTATCACCATCACCACAGTGTCCAGACCCCTGAGGAGTCTCCCCTTCTATACACAGCCTGACCCCCTTCAAATATAGTGGGGTCTAATTGCCAAAGTCTATCATGTCTATCATATCTCTCGCTCTCTCTCTTGATTGCACTGTATTTGTGTTGGAAAAGTTCAGAGAAATATAACTTTGGTGCCCTCTTAAAGAAATTTTGTACCAATATGTGTATTTGCAAAACCACAGTCAGCACGTGGTTAGCTCTGTAAAAACACATGCACTTATAAACCTGGCTGGTTTGTACATCGGTACATCTTTTTTTTTTTGGCAAAGAACAGTAACATCCTAGAGTTACTTTACTTTAGCTCCTTCCTGTCCCTAACCCTGTATCCATTGGACATATGTGAGATAGCAAATAAGGAAATCATTTCTAAAATCTTTTTTTTTTTTTAAATTTTATTCTATTACTTGCTTCAAAGGGATACCAGAAAAAACCGAGGCAGACGGCAACGTTTTCAATCAAATGTCTGACTTATCAGTTTTTTGCCGTACCTCATTGTTTGCACTTTGGAGACATTTTTTGAAAGTTGCAGGGGTTTTGAATAAGCAGTAACTTAATTTCAAACTGGTGTTTTCACCTCAATCTGTGTATTTTAAAACCATCAAATCAGGGTTAAATCTAGCCAATAACCTGCAGCACAAACCTGCTTCAAGCTTTAAAGGTGTTATTCTAACTCTGGAATACCACTTAACTGATGTCAGAAGAGTTTTTATTTTCAAATTGATGGCCATGTGTGTTGAATGGGTCTAATTAAACCTCGATGACCCCTGGGCTAATGCAAATTTCTCAGCACACAGCGACCCAGTATACCTAATTCCAATGCAGAAAAATTTAAATTAGAGTTTGAGTTGGCTAGACAATGGTAGAAATGTACTTCTAAAATAGTCGTATACTCAGTAGTTAACTTTTGTCACCACCAAGATCAGTCCCCAACTCTCAGGCCGTAGTTTTGCCCATGTCTGCATCTCCATTGGAGGTGTGGGAGACAGAGGAAGAGATTTTTCAATGTCAGTCACAAGATAACAGAATGGCAAAGACCAGCAGTTCACTGTTCACTATATTCACTCAGTTCCCATGCTGCTGGCTTACCTCTGTGCCACACAGCATGCAGGTGATTGTCAGAGCTGTATCTAATATGTTCCATGTCCAAACCAAACTGCAATATCGACTCAGATGCACCGGAGTGAGATTAGACTGAGATGATGTGTTGACATAACAGATTGCTTATAGGATGGCTTGTTTGGAGAGGCTTGTATCTAAAATGAGCCCCATCGTTGAATCATGCATTTGAGTCTACATTGGAAACTGATAGGGTCACTGTGAAAGCCATTTCCTCTCTATTTCCTCATGACTGAGGTCTACACTTCCTCATCCCACCACTCCCTGTCTGGCACACCGATGCATTTCCATATATTATTGCCTCTGTAAGCAAGTGTGTCGTGCGCTTGGGCTTTTCCCACAGCCCAAGGGGACTTCTCAATATCATTATCGCTAAAGACTGCCACATGCTTGTAATGTATTGCTGCCTGGCTTTATTGGCAGCGCAATGATTCAGTGGTGGTGATGATGGATTAGTGCCGGCTTGGTCGAGCTGGGCTGGGCTGAGTTGGTCCAGACTGGGCTGGGCTCTGCAGCGTCACTGTCTGTCGCATAAACAGTGTCGTCCTCGCACACTGCAGTATGGAGAGGGAGACATATTGTTTTTATGTCACCCGCCCAACCTAATGAATGTGGTCATATTACTGCTTTTATTGAGCTTCTTGGAAAATTGTATGAATCATCTTGTCCACCTTTTGCTTTTCATGCAGACACGCAGCGCCACATAATAGGTAGCAGTGATGCATCGTCTTTATGACTTTGTTACTGTTTTGAATGCGAAAATAAAACTGCATTTTTTTGCCTGCTGGAAGGGGAAGTTCGGAGAGGGTGTGCTGGGTGCATATGTTACCTCAGGGTAACAAGGTTTGATATTTCCAGGAGGAGTCACACATAAACATACTGGTTTGGGTGGAAGAACACACACTACCATGTTTTATTACTGAATATGAAGTACACTCCACATAACAAAGCCACCCAGGCTGACTTAAACTACATTGCTCACTGGCCACAAGCTAAAAATCCAAACCCAACCCCCGGCTCAATGTCGGGCTGGGTTACTGTTGTGCACTGATTGGCTCCAGCCTCACTGCAAGAAAATAAATGGACATTAGTCTTAATATGTTTGTGCTTGGAGCAGCAACCGGCCACTATCACTGCTGCTGTTAACCTCTCCTGCCAAGTCATCTGTCTCACTACAGCAGATGTTGGTTTGGTTTATCAGTGCACAAGAGTATAACATACAATCTCTTATCAGTCAAGTAAATAAGATGTACTTGAGTTCCTTTTTGCTTTCTATCTTAAACAGTATTTTATCTTCTTGATGCTTCCCTGATTACTTTAACACTGCTGAAGTCCAGCCACTCCAAAAGCTAGTTATGATCCCTCTGTCCATAACAACTACAGACCAGTTTCTTAAGGAAATAGTAATTCCTGGTCATCTTGATCAAAACATATTTTTTTGAGAGTTGTCAGCCGTTACCAACAGCAAAACAGCACTGACTCTATCCTTACACCAAAGGTATCTTGATATCTTGATGCACACTCACATGGGTTGATCACATTGGTTTTCAACATTATTTTTGAACAGAATGTTTGTTGTGTCTCTTGATGGTTTTACATCCTCTCGAGTATTGTTTTTAATATGGTGTGCCACAGGGCTCCATCCATGAACCAATTCTGTTTTCTCTTTATTTACTCCTTTATTTTGGAAAATGAACACTTCCAAAACTGAAATCCTAATTAAAAGCCCTGAGGTGGCTCATGACCAAATTCGGCCTGCCCTCAGCTGATCACATCGTACCCACTGTTATTTTAGACCAGAACCTCAGTCTTGAAAGTCGTGTTAAAAGGCTAACTTACTTTTTGATGAGAAATCTATACATATAATCTATATCTAGAATTAGATAGTGTCTTTTAATGATCTTCAAAGAGTGATTCATACTTGTATTACGGCTTGTACGGATTATTGTAATGCAGTGATTGGACAGGTTCTGTGTGTTCAGAATACAGCTGCCCGACTTTTAACTAAATCACGAAAGCATGATTCTATCTCCCCTATTTTAGCTCCTCTTCACTGGCTGCCTGTGTATTTTAAAATTGACTTTATAATATTACTCTTGATTTTGTAAGGCACTGCATGGTTTGGCACCAAGCTACTTGTCTGAGCTTCTAAATCAGTACTCACCAGCCCG